ATCCAGCTATATGCTGAATAAAAATTGATTTGCGAAACCTAATTTAAGTTAAATCTCAAAATTTTCACTATGTAGTTCGAGAAACATAAGCTTTTACCTCTCTAATGTAACGAGATTCAATTCAAACTATATGTAAACTAGACCATTGGATAGAGCATCAAAAGTTCCATAGACCACATATATTTTGATAAAGACTATGAGACTCATAGTAATTGTGAAAAGCTATCCTCAAGATATTCAAAAAAATCTATTTTTCTAAAGACCATGTCAAAAACCTCTGTTTTTGTGAGAAAAGTCTCGGATTTCACATCAAAATTTGACATAGTTTTTTTTTCAAGGACATTAATAGAATCAAATTCTGCATAAGATAAACAATTTTTCCATTTTCGTAAGTTAATTGCAAGAAATTTCGAAGGGTGTAGGTATGTGGGTGTGTGTAGAGAGCTGCAAAAGATTTATTAAACCAGTCACTCGAGTTTTTTTATTTTTCATTTTGTCATCACATTTTCTTCTGTTCTTATATTCATTAACAAATTATGTCAAAGAGAAAAACAAAACGTTTGATGTTCTCAATTGATTAGTAATTCTTATCTCTTTCTCTTTTTTGCTCTTGAAAATCTGTTTAAAATTTTGCAACGATGAATTTCAATTGTAGGTAACTATGAATAAATTTTTTTTAAATATTTTCTTTTCTTTTTGTTTAAAATCTTTCTCTAATCTAATTCATATATTTTCAAGATTGTGCTACTAGTTTAAGTTAGATTCGTTTGAAGTTGAATACTAGATAGATTGTCATCTGAGATTATCAAATTTCAAATCGAATCACCTCATAGATTAATATCAACGCAATAGACCTTCTTACACCAAAACTTATAAATTGTCAATAAGAGGTTTTGTCAATCAAACAACTGCTTAGTATCCTGAATTCTGAACTGTGTAATTTTTTTAGTATCGAGTCGTTATCAGATTTTCGATTTCATCATTCATATTGTAAATCTATTTAAGCAGCTCTGTTCTTCTATATGTAACCTCAAATCATTGAAGAATCTAATCGGAATATATTTTAATGATAATATTTGACTATCGATGATCAGATGAAACAAAGCACATGCGTTACATAACTTTGAGATTAAAACCTATGCGCCTCATTACGAGCATATATTTGAAAATGCTTGAATCTAATTAGTTATTTTGAATTAAATTAGATAAACATTTAAAGTTGTATTTATATGATCTATTCAGATCTCAATTGTTTCATAAGCGTAGAAAGCATCATCTAGATCAATCACAATGTTACGCTTTAAACAATCCTATGTGAATTTGTGTCGGCTTAATTTTATAACACAAGGTTTTGTTTTTCCTCAAATTCATGTTGCTTCTTAACAAGTGAAGTATTTTTATTTTAATATTAATTATCAGATAATCTCGTAGTAATGACAAAAATCACAATTTAATTATAATTAATATCCGTGTTATTCGTATAGTCATCATGTCTTTTGGTAGATTTGTGTAATTTAATTTGAGATTTACTCTAAACAAATAGAAAATTAGTAAGTCGAATGTCTTTCATTGATTTTAAATTTCATCTTACTTGAGCTGAAAATCTAATGAAAATAATTAGGAACGAGTCTAACGGTTTAATATAAAATTTTATCGGAAAAATTGATCATGCTAGTTTTTTATGGGAATTGCTTCTTTTTCTATCCGATCACATTCATGTGAAAAAATTTGAAGGGCATAGAATTAGAACGTCCGACCAAGTTCAACAATAAACTATAATTAAAATTTCCAATTTTAATTTATTCTTTTAGTAGAATATTCATTACAAGTTCATTACCAATCAGAGAACTCAGTTCTATTTAGTGCAAAAGAGCATTGAAGCTGTCGGTCATATGAACTTACGTTTTGTCTTTATTACGCCTTAAGTTTTATCTCAGTTTTTGATATGATAGAAAGAGTCCAATAGCATACATTTTGATAGATTTCACTAAATCTACAGCATTTGGCATGAAATCAAATTGGGGACAAAAGAACACAAGGTCTTCCAGATCGATTAAAAGAAAATAAAGTAAACAAATTTTCCAGATGATTTTTCTAGAAAAGATATTCACTTAAGTTAGTCAGAAAAACTCAAATAAAATTGTTGATAATTAAGACTCGGATTCAAGTCTAATGTAGGAAGGTTGTTGAGGGTGTGGGTGTAAGTGGAAAAATGATCCACATCCACATCTACTTCGTATCCGTCTGTTTCTTCTCTATCTAGCTACCTTTCTTTTATTATGCATCTAGTTAACTAATATCTAAGCTATATTAATCGAACTGTATACTTAGATTAACGTTCTCGATCAACCACAAGAATTTGAATGGCTAATTGAAGAAGTGCTATTACAAGTGTAAAAATGCAGAGGTTTTGGATGATCGAGACAAGAGTTTTAATCCTTACAAGTTTTCTATTTTATGCCACAGTGGTTCAAGAATTGTCATTTCTATTAATGACCAATTGACAATTAATCTTCGATCAAACTCAAACGATTATTCTGTTGCGAATAAGAGATCAAGTGGAAGATTCATTAAAATAATGTAAAGTTGACCCACTTTTAACATTTTTCTGACATTCAAATGAATATTAGTTTAATATTAAATATTTGTCCATGTACTCAAGATTAAACATTTAATCCATTACAATCGATTGATGTTGCTGCATTCTATTGTACAAATCTCTGTTAGATAGGCGACTTCTTATAGGCTTTCGCCCCTACACATTCTACATTCGAATTTAAACAATTAAAATCAATTAGATGCTTTAATCAAATTATTGTATCATCAACCATGTTTTTCCTAAGGGAAAACGATTGTACCGTTCAAAATCGAATTCAATCGGGATTTCGACACAAGAATTTTTCACTTGATCAATATTAAAGCTTGTGTATGTTTGGCAGTAGTCCATAAAAAATACGATTCTCAAACTACACTGCTGTTCATTTCAACAAAAGAATTATGATAACAATGGCATGCCGAGGAAGTCGTTTGTTTGGACATCCAAATGATTTAGTGAAGATAAAGGTTTCTTTTAGTTAAGATAATTGCAACAGCTCAAGATTCTTAGAAAAAGAGAACAAATGTATCAAAGTCTGCCGCCATAAATTTCCTGTTCTGATGAGTAAATCATTGCCAAGTTTATCAGACATTATGGACATCTACTTTCAGTATGCTTTGATTCACCCTGTTTCTTAAGCTGAGTGTTAAGGATTCCAAAGACGTTTGTTACTTTTTGACCAACTTCTCTGTTGATTGAAAAAAATACATTGAGCAGAACTATTATTGAAGGTCAGACGAAACAATCTGGAGCAAAATGCAGCGAATCACAAGTTAGAAAAAAATCATGACTCATACGAGATGGAAAGAGGGAGGCAAGCGCGTCTTATTCAGTGGTAACATCAATTATGATTAATCGATTGAAAATTCGCCAATCTGATTCTCAACGATTAGAATTTCAATCGAATTGAAGTATAAAACTGATTTAAATTCGATTAATCAATTGTAATTGACTTGCAGATTAAAATCAATTTTAATTGAATTATTAGTATCAATTAGTATTTTTCGGAAAAAAATTGGACATATTTGTTCATAATAAAAAGAAATCGTGATATTTGCTCGGATATTTTTCACTGGGTGCTCATGTACACGTCAGTATGACGTAGCACAAAAGCAACATGTGCAAGTATGATGAAGTTGAAAGAAAACATCAACACGTGGATCGTTTTATCGTTGTTTCTGTTTTGAGTTGATGACAAAAAGCAAAAAAACGGAGAAATCTTTTCTTGTCTCTATACTTATTGTATAGAAAAAAACTGCTCGTAGTCATTCAGTATAAAAAATGCATGGTCAAATAAATTTCCTTTTTTTATTGAACGTATCGGTTTTTTATTCGTTGAAAAATAGAGATCACTTTCGATATGTCTGAAATTTTATGATAATCATTGTCAACCATTCTATGAATGAATTCTCATTATCTTGAATTCATTTTAAAACTCTTGGTACAAACAATGTCTATGTCGGATATATTAGATTAACACCTATCGTCTAGTTCGGAAATGGAGCTCCAACTTCGAAATGTGAAGATGTCAAATTAGCTTTAAAGTATTTCAAAAAAACTAATAGTATTTGCTGAAGTGTTCACTGAATAACTGTTCGACTCGACCTTGTTGAATACAAATGAACAATCATTATGTACAATAAGTTCAGCAATACATTGGACAAACTTTCATTACTATCTACTAGTGCCCTTTTTGATATTTTTCACTTTACTATCTTGTAAAAAATGTCCTAAACTCGTTCTCGAATAAACATCGTAATGGTGATATCATCATGGAGAATAAACACGTGAGAGAGAGAAAAACAAAATGCCTTCTTTGATTTATTCTTGAACGCAGTCGAGCTGGCGTTTATATTCTATTAGTTTTGTTCTATTAGTTTTTTCTTCTGTCATAAACTCAATCACGAAATAAATAATTCTTTTTTTTTCTTTAGAAATCTATTCAATCATCATGGTCTATTCTCTACACTGCTTTTTTCCCACTAAAATACCCAGTGTCATTTTATATATATACTCATGGTGGCAGTAAAATCATTGATGAAATTTTTATTCTTGCATTTTCTCTCAACAACATTGTGCAAGAATCAAAAGTAAGAGAAGGTCTATTCGTTTTAAATGTATTTCACAGTCTAGAATCTAAATCATCAAATTACTACTGATGATATGTTCAGTAATTCTTATATCTATTTCATATTGTAAATCTTTCAAATATCGTTTATAATTCATATTCATCAATTTTTTGATATTAAGGTAATTGATGTTTCTTTGTAATGTGATGTGAAGTATTATTTGCTATATATTTCAAAATTGTAAAGAAACTATGTACTTCGTCGTTTGTTTTGTCCCATAGTTTTAACGAATAGCGTTCATTGTTCTATAGGCTCTGATTCTCAACAAATCAAACATGCCACGACGTAAAAATCGAAAAGGTATTTCCAAAATTTCTACTCACGCCAGTACTACTGAAAGTTTATTTCTTCATAATCTTTTCGTCTAGCTCGAATTGATTCGAAACCATCAACACTCAACAACAACAATGAGCATACAGATACGGCATCCAATTCCAGACCCTCATCATCAACACGTGATCCTCAAGCATCTCTTCCATCGGAGGCGTCTACCATGTCTGAACCATCTTGTGATCTTCAAGTACCGCTTCCATCTGAACCATCTGCTGTGCCAAAGTCGGCTTGGGGTGCTCGAGTACCACCTCCATCTGAGGCGTCTGCTGTTCCAAAATCGGCTTTGGATTCTCGAGTACCACCTCCATCTGAGACGTCTGCTGTGCCAAAGTCGGCTTGGGGTGCTCGAGTACCACCTCCATCTGAGGCGTCTGCTGTTCCAAAATCGGCTTTGGATCCTCGAGTACCACCTTCGTCTGAGACGTCTGCTGTGTCAAAGTCGGCTTGGGGTGCTCGAGTACTACCTCCATCTGAGGCGTCTTCTGTTCCAAAGTCTGCTTGGAGTCATCCATCTCGAGGTTTACATCCAAAAGAACGCTCTGCTAGTGCGTTACCAACGATGAAAGAGTCGATGAAAAGTTTGTCTGTGAACAAAGCTACTATTGTATCGGAAGAACCTCGTTCTCAAAGTGTTCTTCCAATAAAGCGCCGTCGATTTTTATGCTCTGCGGTACCTGATACAGCCATGTTGTGTCCCGTTCGTCGTCCCGATGATGGTGGCTCAAGTGGTGAAGCAATATCGGTGTACACTAATCATTTTCGTGTAGATATTGATGATGCTACCATTAATCAGTATGATGTCGAGATTGTCATTGTTGATTCTAATGGTAAATCACGTCCAGCACGCAAAGACGAACGTTGGGAAACGATGCAACGCATTGCTAAAGAAAAGAAGAATTTCCCGCTTGTATGGTGAGTCTATTTATTGTTGAAAGGATTTCATGTATCTATCTATGACATTCTTTTCAGGTATGACGAAGGAAAAACATTGTACACTCGAGCGTTGTTGTCTGATTTAACAGAACCTATTGAGATAAAGATGAAAAAAGGCGATGAAATAAAAACATTCCAATTGAACGTAATAAATCTTGTGCGGCAAGACAAGATTAGAAATATCTTTGATTTTATCCAAAAGAATACAACTACTCGACCACGTGAAACAGTTCGAATCATTGAGACGCTTTTCAAACAGCGTGCTCGCAATGATCTTGTTTGTGTTCGAAATCAATTCTACAATCGAAATCAAATTCTTGATGATCTTCGTGAGTTTTTCTTTCTTCGAAGCTTTTCTTTAGAATATCCGTCGTTCTTTTTCTCATAGTCGATGGTCGTGGAATGGCAAAAGGTTTCTATCAAGCTTTATTTCTTACCCGATGTGGACCAACACTGAATGTCAATTTAACATTCACATGCTTTTACATGCCATTGAACTTTGTTGACTTCGCTTGTAAATATTTACGGAAAGATATCACCACAAATTTTACCGAATACGAAGCAAAAGTTTTCAAAAAACTTATTCGAGATCTACTCAGTATGTTGATATAATCTTTCGCATCTTTTACTCATTTACATATGTTTTTTCAAATCTAGTTGAAACAGAACACACAGGTCGTACGATTCGCTATAAATTCCGTGGCTTTGGTCGTCCTGCTAATCAACTGATGTTCGCTCGTGGAAGAGTTGTTGAAGAATCAGCAGATACTCTTGAACAGATCAGTGTAGCCGAGTATTTTGAGCAACAATACAATAGAAAGCTCACCTATCCCCATTTACCCTGTATTGATGCCACGAATGGTATTAGTAAGAGAGCAAACTGGCTACCGATGGAACTGGTCAAGGTTAGTTTTTTTAATAGAACATCGCTTTACCCAGAGGGAATTCGGCGATTTCTTTGAATTTCAGCAGAGAAACAAAAAGTTGAATGCGAAAAAATATTTTTGATTTTGTTTCATAGTAGAACTGAAATTAAGCGATTCTTATCTACCAACGAGATATATATCAATCTTTTTGATATAATCATCTGATTTTATTTTAGTTGGTTGAATGGCAACGTTCACTAAAGCCACTAGATGCAACACAGCGGGCTCGCGTCTCAAATAAATCCATTATTGAACCATTGGAACGTTACAATCAAATTATGTCTATTATGCAAGCACGTGATTTTGAAACTGATATTCATCTAAAAGACTTGAATATTCGTGTACATAAAAACGAAATGCTCGAAATAAAAGGTATGTGCTCTTTTATTGTTTAATTTTGTCAATTGATATTTGTTGATTTTTAAGCACGACTTCTTGCATCTCCCAATATTCGATATCGTCATCGTCAAGATCAAGGAGAAGCGATTGAACATGTCAATGTTGGCAAATGGAGAATTAGCAATCGGTTTTACACAACGCCTGACATTAATAATTGGGGTATCATCTATTTTGGTTATACACCTGATCAACAAGTCGATGGCATTCTCAAACAATTCGTCTCTCAATTACCTGGGGTAAAAAACTGTTTTTTTTCCTTGACCTACAATTTTTTCACTGTAATCTTTTCAGTTACTCAAACGTAAAGGAATTATACCTAGAACAAAATTAACTCTAACAATAAAAGCGGCTCGAAAAGAAGATATTGAAAACGCTTTGACTGAGGCTAGTCGAAAACGTTGGCAATTAGCCATTGTTATTCTCAATACTAATTCGGATCAGGTGTATGATTATGTTAAACAATTAGGCAATCAACAGCTAGGCTTAAGAACGCAATGTATCGATCTGGAAGCGTTGAGGAACAACAGAAATAAACTCCACATGTGTAAGTAACGAGATGATCAGCATATTGTCTTTTTACAGTGCAGCGATTGAAAAACAAACTGCAATCAAAATCGGATGTATATAATTTTAGATGTGGACAATCTTAGCCAGAAGATCAATGGAAAACTAGGTGGTATCAATAGTGTTGTCAATATTAAATTGGCTCTAAGTCGTTCTTCTAGAGAAGATATTTTCATGTTCTTTGGAGCCGACGTAAGTGTTGATATATTAATATCATTAGACGAGAAAAGAAAACGACTTATTTGAAAGATCTAAAATCATTAGAATAGGAAATTATACAGACTTTATCTTCAGGTAACTCATTCGACTTGTTCAACAGATCGTCCGTCAATAGCAGCAGTAGTTGGCTCACGTGATCCAACAAATACTCTTTATGCTGCTCGACTTTGCGAACGTAGGTTATAGATTATTGTTCACTGTCATTATCCATGCTTTTTTCTCTCTCTCTAGAATATCCCAAAAAAGGTCGTTGTTCGGTGGAAATTATTAAAGAGTTGGATAGAATGGTTGCTGATTTGCTTGAAGTATTTGCTCGCACATGTGGTGGTCGTCTTCCAAATAAAATCGTCTTCTATCGAGATGGTGTAGACGAAGGACAATATCAGAAAGTTCTCGACAATGAAGTGAACAAAATCAAGAACGCTTGTCGACGTAAGTGTTGGAGAAAAAAAGTAAATATTCTATAAATATATCGATTTCTTCATATCAGTTGTGTACGGTGATCGGCCATTGCCAAAATTAACTTTTATTGTCGTAAAAAAACGTCATAATACACGTTTCTTTCTCTACGATGGCAAACAGACGATGAATGTTCAAGCGGGTACTGTGATTGACCAGAATATTACTCATCCCTCTCAATTCGATTTCTATCTCTGCTCTCAAGCGGCTATGTAATTGTTTCATTCTTCCTATTTTTTATTCTTAGTCTAACTAACTGTCAACTGTTCTAGAATGGGTACATCAAGACCTACTCTCTATCATGTCCTCCATGATGATATTGGCTTTAGCAGTGACGATGTTCAACAATTAACCTATTGGGTAAATTGAGCTTTAAATAAATTCAAATGAACGATTATGAGATCTATTTCAGTTATGTCATACGGATATGCGTTGTACTAAATCAGTCTCGATTCCATCACCTGTTCATTATGCACATCTGGCTGCCTACGGATCACGTTCCTTAAACTTTGACGATGATCGTGTGACAGACAAGTACGAACTTTCATATTTTTATCATCAGAAAGACTTTATTGGTTAATATTTTTAGTGTTGATGATGATGGTGATGACGAACAACTTGAAAGTTATTCACTCGATGATATTACAACCAAACTAATGGTTCTTGATCCAAAAGTTGTCAACGATATGTGGTTCATATAACTCTTTGTCGTCGAAATGGATTTGACGAATTTTTCGCAGGTTGTTTTATTAACAAAGACAACAATTAGCCATTCTCTATTCTCTATCTGATTTGCGTTTATTAAGAAATTTTAAATAAATTACAAAATATAATTTGTTTTTGTGTGTCTGGAGAGACCGATTCGTCATCGTTTTTCTCGATAGAAGCGAATGTTTTTTTTTCATATTAATAAGAGCGAAAAAGAATTCAATGAGTAGACTATTTTTCCAACTACAATGATTAGACCAATGTGAGAATAAGCGAAAACTGATTAGTCGAATTTCTTAAAAAGAAAATAAAATAATACGAGAGAGTCTTGTTGGAATCCGCATGATAAAGAGGAACGTAGAGCACCAGCGATCAGTCGATGTATCGCCATAGTAAAATGAAAATCGTCCAGAAAAACATAGCTCGATGAGACTGGACAAGATTTGATAATGGCTGTGAGATTCAATACATTCCAACATTTATCAATTGTATTTGCAAATGTGATTGCCGATGTATTGGAGATAATCTTGGTTGAGTAGGATGGGTGAGATTAGGTGAGAGTGAGGGCGTGAGATAAAGACAACATCCTCATTCTCAAGCTGGTGAGTGTGAGTATGTTGACCATAACGCTCACACACATCCTCAAGATGATATTTCCCTTCTTGATGGCTTTCAGTTTTAGCATCTCAATTTTGGCAATACTACACTCGTGATGGTTTAAGATTAAATCACTTTTGTATGAAATATTTTCAAAGATAAATGTTTCAAAATAGCACTTTATTTCTTATATTGTTTTGTCAAGTTCGACAACCTGTTAAAGGCTTGATAGGCACACTTGAAATTGGGAAAAAAGGCTTTCAAGGAAGAATCAAGGATTAGTGATTAAAAACGAAACTAAGGCGCATTGTTTCTCTCACGCTGTTCCTAAATTTTGTTTTATTTCATTCTTCTCCTCAATTTCAAACAATTATAAGTTAGTTTTCATCCTATTTCATACTTTCTCTCTATAATTTCTTAATAATGGATTGCACTCGCGAACTCAATGAAATAGCAACTGCAGTTCAAAGCAAAGATTCAGATAACACCAATGACGAAAGTACCAGAAGAAAACGCAAAAATATCTACACGAAACTGGCACTAGAAGCAGCACCCGCTATTCTGCTGATGGTGCTCATTGTGGTGATCGTTCTCGTGACAAATAAAGAAACTGGAAAAGATCCCAGCTAAAGAGCACTGGTACGGGAGAAGCGAGACTAGCGAAAAAAGAACTCTGTCCAAAAGAGGAATCGAATCTGCTGTTCTTCACCTTCGATCCGAGATCACCTTTAGAGTCCTGCAGGTTAGATTGAAAAAGCTGTAGGTTAGGTTAGGATTAGGTTGCGAGGACCCTAAGTAAAGTTAGGTCGAGGTTACAGAAAAGCCGTAAACTACTTCGCGTAGAGGTTCGCAAGGCTTCTTAGAGTAACGTTCAGTTTCAAAAGTTGATTCTGAATCATAAATACTAGACTGCTCTAAAGGAATACTACAACTTTTTTCTTTCTTAGCAACCACTGTCATACCAACTACCGGTGTCATACCCGCTCCGCCATCGCCGCCTCCCCCTTCGGTGTTCTCTCGCTTTCCCACTTTTCTTCGTATCTTCACCTTCAACTTTTGAGTACTTGGCAGTCACCAAAGGTCACTCTCGTTCAATTGAAAACATGATCCTATTCAATCGGCCAGATGTAGTCTGCCTTCAAAAAAAATGCACATGCGAATCCAGATCTGAGAATCAAAAGGTATCAGCAGGTGGTCGAGTGTGAAGTACAGTCAATGCGAGTGTTGTGTGGTTCACAAAGTCGCTTCGAGTTTGTTCAGGTTGTTTTCAAAAACTGACGGAGAAAATTCAAGAAAGGTTTTGGACCTGCGCCGAGCACTACCTAAAACTCCTGTCAAATGACAGAAATTAACATATTCTTTTTCATAGCTCATTTTATTCCTTATATAAAACTATGGTTATTAAAAAAAAGTGAGGTCTCTGGGATCTATTGTGGCGAAGTTACAGACTTGAAAACACAAGAAGCTCCCAAAACTTAAAAAATATCTATTTGTTTGCCTAAAAAGTAGTTGGAAAGTGCAGCAAAATTTTGGAAAAACACGTTGTTACGCATCATTTTATTTCAGACACATTTAAACACGTTTGACTTTAGCAGCTATTATTTTTAGGAGTCCCAGAAAAATGTTCACGACCCACACTATCTACGTCACACATGCTCTTAAAAACAGTGGTCACGTTAAAACTTTTCACTATCTTGATATAACCGCAGGCAGCAATACCAAGCGCTGCGCCTCCCTAGTCCAAATCGATCACGTTCTCATTCCACCTGCGCACATCTGTGGCGATCGCAACGATAATGAAGCCTATAGAACATTGAGAAAGACGAGATGCAATGGGTTCGAGGCACTGCTAACGGCACATCCGAAAGTTGACAGCATCGTCGGTGACATGAACATGGTTGATAGTCTATCTTTGAGAATCTGAGCAACAATACGAAAATTCAACCCCGCGAAGTTTTTTCGCTCAACACATCCTATCCTAATCCTAATATACTTTTACTCGGTCAACCGCCTCTAACTCGTGAAGAAACACCTCGGAGGATCCATCGATGCAACAGCGGCATTGACTACCTCTTGAATGAAAAGAACTTCGCTGCAGTCTTTATTCAGAAGTCACTCGGTAGTAATACATGCTTAGGAAATGGAGTTCTCGACTGATTCTTGGTACGAACAGAGAGAGTTGTTAAAGTCCAAAACATTCGCCTTATTGACTGCATGCCAACGACAAATAACATCTCAAACCATCATGCTGTGATCGTGAACTACCCGATGTCAGCTGCTTCCAGCAGCACAAAAGTGAATCAAATTCAATCACCTACTGGAGCGAAACATGATTACTACAAATTTGTACTCAGTTGGGCGGAGCTCTACTGTGGAGGTCTGATGGATGCAGATAGAACAAAGAACTTTCAATGTTGAAATATTAATGAACATTGGCTGATGGTGTAAGTGTTTTCTTGCTACTTCAAGCCAGTCGAAAAAGTGTAAGTCGTGAATGGGCACTTAATACGTATTTTAAAGAAATTGTCGAGATGACCAGCTAAAAAGCGTCTACCGGCGTAAAAATGACCAGAAAAAAGCATCTTTCAATGCTCGATTGCATATCAAATGACTCATAAACGACGAAAACTCAAATACGGACGTCACAGCCACTGTGAAGTACTCGGTTTTAGACATGATCGCTAAATGATCATTGCTAGACCATTTTGTAACTGCTCTAAAACAGCAGTTGAATGATGATCATATATTCGCCATTAAATGACTTCAAACTTGCCGTTTTGAAGCCTTTCGATTTTGGTGAGCACTGTAAAAAAGATCATAAAATTGGCTTTGTAATCACCGCTTCCTATTGTCTGAATTACGAAGTTTTCTGCAGAAATAAATTTGAGGTTGAAATAATACAAATGGATAGAAGTCTAAAATTGGCCTTTTAACAAGCTTTTAAATCCTACTTACGTCCTGATATCTTTTTATTCTTCTGGATTATTCGTGTGTGAAAAAAAAACTACGAAGAACTTAGAAAGTTTACCGCAAGCTTTAAGTCTAAGCGGTGTCTTCGATAAAATTTGGGTTATTTTATTTTTTCAACGCAACACAATATGCAGCAAGTTCTCAGTCGGTTTTTAATGACATTTCAGAAGTGTATTATTTCACGATACACGAAACATTTTTACTCCAAGTATCTTTCTTTTCTAAACTTCTAGTCACGATCTTTGGTCTGTCATCAACAAATCTCCCTCAGATCCGTTTTATGCCAATACAAATGATCATCCTCTCAACAGCCACAAGCTGTCATTAAAAAGTACTACTGCTTCACACCGGACGAGGAAGTGACTCAGGCAGAGTGGAAAAAACATGGTGTGTATCCAGAGCATAAAGGCCCCTTTGTTGCTACAAGAACATGCTTTTTTTGCTGAAAACTCATTTCAACCCGAAAACCATTCAGACTCTTGCGCTGTGGCCATTCATGCAGTAATGAGCCAGCTGCAGGGCAATAAACAAAATATTGACTAATAATGGCAGAAAAGTCTTTCTTGAAAACCAATTTCACTATCGAAAAACGTTTATTGCCATGGCAAAAAACAGTCCAAACTTTTGTTCTCTGGCCATTCTTTTCTTAGATCAAACACTCTCGTTTTCTTTCTTCTTTCAGGCACCTGCGCTTTCGCCTATGGCATCCTTTACTTCAACCTCAAAGAAATGGTTCTGACCCATGAGATTAAGCACACTGTTCACATTCAACAGGACATCGTAGAGGAGAATATGCTTCTGAACATCAAGCATTTGGAGAAAAAGCACATTGCATTTTTTATCAAAGGTGAGAAGTTGAATTAAATCTACTTTTGTTTCCATTTGACCTGGAAGTTGGTGGTGTGTCTATCGACCAAGTCGAACACTTCATTTTTCTAGAGGGAAAAAGCACATTTTAGTACTGAAATTTTTTTAGAACACGAAAAAATGCTATTGGAGTAAATAAATAAAGTTTTATGAGAGAACAAGAGGAGCATTATAAAATTGCGTAAATGTATGAGTCCAGTCAAGTAGATAAAGTGAGAACAGTAAACAAATCACTTTTTTTGTCATAAAAATATTAAAAAGCGGCAACTTACCACAGATTTAGAATTCGAAATTTCGTTGAAAACTTAGCATCTTTTCAATGAGTTCAAATGATGGGTTGTGGGTAGAAAAATGACCTACACCCACACTCTTCTTATAATGGTCATCAAAATGCAACGAAATAACATCTGGCAAAAATGTTCGAAATTTAAGTTTGTATAACATGTATAAGAAAACTCTTTCAAAAGAAAGCTCGAGCAACAGTACCACTTAACACTATTGTTAACAATGATGAAAGAAATAGGAACACAAAACATCCATTATACTACCTAATAGAGTTAAGTTGAATAGTCTACAAGGAAAGGTATAAAAGTTACTAGGTTCAAATGATGAAAAACAGAGCCGTTGTTTTTTTAATCAAGATTTTTCACCAGACTCAATCATAGCTTTGGAGAGCTGTTTCTTGCTATCCAATTAAGATCCACACTTTCTAAACTACGCATAAAATCCATATATCGGTATGTTTTCCTATGGGGTGTGTGGGTGTGAGTGTGGATGAGTCTGGGTTTGAGTGAGTATGACTGTGATTGTTCTTATTTGACACACCCACCCAAAGTACGAAATTGGACTACCTAGCTTTTCTACATATTCAAAAACATCAATTTCAAATTTATAAAAGATCTTCAAATGTTCTTGCGTGAACTCTACTCAAATATTATCCACGCCCATCCTGAGTAAGATGTACAAAAACAAACAAAAAACAAAAAAAAGAATGTATACTAGATGTGGACATTGATTTATTCGATTTACATTGTTCGGTTCTTCGCTCTTCTTCATCACTTATGATTTTTCATAGCTTTTACCTATTACTTAAAGATATATAGTGTTTCAAGTTATTGTTTTAAAGACTCATGTATATCCTTTTCCTTCTTCATTTTTGTTATGTTATTTTCTTGTAATGTTATCTTGTTGTTAACCTATTAAAGGAACAATACACTTCTATGTTAAAAAAAGGGGACAAATCATTGAACCCACTGAAAAGTTCAATAAGAACATGTATGAACGATTAAGAGAAAACAAAATTTGTAATTGACGAATTGAAATTGATCCAAATCGTGATGGACTTTCTAAGTTGTTTTGTTTTATACAGCTTTGTCTTGCTTTTTTTCAAATTTGATCAAGGAGATTAATTGAATTCATCGATTGAACTGTCAGCTATTTCTATTCTCATTAATGTTCGCCAACGCTCGATTGAGTATGTGATTATTTATTTCTCTTGTGAATTAGTCTCCACATGATCAAATATGCAGTTTGTATTTGAGTGCAAGCAGATAATTTCAAAAGTCACATGCAACTGCCTTTTTTTTTATTTGTATTTTATTTTTCATATTGAACACTAACAGAACAATAAAGATTACCTGTGTTTATATCCTCCTCTTGTTTGTATGAACTCACTATGCACCGTTTGTTTTCATTGTTGAAAAAGATTTCTTTCAATTCCACATGCCTTTCGAATGGGCTTGTCTTTTTCTTAATTAAATCACGTTTCGTCATCACAGAATATTTTGGTATAACAAGAGGTTTTCGCTTTAGTTAATTGTTCAGTTTTAATTACACTAGAGATGAAGAAAATAGCAAAAAATCAGTAGTTCTGCAGTACTAACGATAAATTTTGTATCTTTGCTTAGAAACTGATTTTCATAGTCATCTATAATACAAGAGACACATTGGACGTGACTGTGTATGATTTGGTTTTATATCGTACCGATGGTATCGTTTTATGCCGAATACATTGAAACAGTAATTGGTCTAAGTTTTTCTGAATGTATCATCTTGCTCGATTTTATCTCAAATATTGTTTTGTACAGTGTAAATCATAGCTGCGATTAAAAAAAAGATTATCACTAGATTGGCGACCTATTGTTGGCGTAGTGTATTGTAGAATTGGATCCGAATCAAATATGGAAAGAAATATCGCCTTCGATAAATATTTACAACAATGATGCTCATATGTGATGAGAAAAAAAAATGACATTTGTGAATTCAAATACCCTGCTGAATATGCACATCACACAATATCTGATCATTACTCTTGATCTTGATCACATCACGTGTATTTCCGTAAATATTTGTAAAAATAAACACGTAAATGTCAAGGGACTATGTTCAACGTGTTCACTAGCATTTTTTCGTCATTTTCTCTTACAGTAGAACACTGGCAAAGTTAGACAACAAGTTCAAATAAGTGTTATATTTATTGATCTCAATCATTTCACTCTATTTCTGGATCACTTAAGGACAGTTTTTTTTATCCAAGAACAAAATGCTAAAACTATTCTACAAAAGAAGATCAGCTACCGTCGACATTGTTATGCGTGTTCATAGAAATATCAATCATAAACGAATTTATTGCGATCAAGATTTTTTTTAAATGTCTTTCTCGACTTTCTCGATAAATAACGTACTCCATATACAACATTGAACAAGATCAATGGCTTCAATTGAACAAAATATGAAGCGTTCCTCTTGCGGCAGTCAAAAAATTCCTAAACATGCAGAAAAACATAATTCGACACCATTAAAATCATTAACTATAACTATTGATCCCAATGAACAATTATCGATTCTTTCTGATCGATCAACAAACCATATAATCAATGATGAATGTAAATCTGATTCAAAATCGCCTATGAAACGAAGATTTGCTAGAACATTATCGATGGCTTGTGTAAGTTATCGATTGACGATGAGAAAGAAGTTACATCAAAGATGGTGAGAAATCCTTTTTTTTCTCTTTGTACTTTTAATTTTCATTAGTTTTTCGTCTATACAGTTGTCAAGTAAATGATATCATGTGTGTTGTTGGCTTATTGGGTATTATTTTAATGATTGTCGAAAATGAAATAACTTTTACGCATGTCGATCATCGTGATAATCTCGCAAGTTGGATTGTCAAATTGATAATAACAATATCGACCATAATTCTAATCGGGCTTGTTATTTATTATCATTATTTCGATATAAGTCTTTATTGTATTAATAATTCCATTGAATACTGGCTTGTTGGATTGACACGAAGAAAATTAGGTCTAATGATTTTAGAAATATTACTTTGTTCTATTCATCCGATTCCTCGACATTTTCCTAATTATGCATATCCTGAAAATGAAAAAACGAATTCAAATTTAACAATGACTAATCGTTCTACACTAACTTCAATCTCTTTAAAATACATTCCTCTTGATGTTGCACTTGGTTTACCGAGTAAGTTTTTGTTATAGATGTTTGTCAATGGTTTTCGAATTTGTACATTTGAATAGTGTTTGGTCGTTTGTATATGTGGTGTCGTTTTATTACATTTCATTCCCATTTGGTTCAAGATGCATCATCACAATCACTTGGCTATCTCAGTCGAGTATCAATTGATTTTCTCTTTGTTATTAAAACTTGTTTTCAACAATATCCAACATTTTGTTTGGTAATATTCTGTACAATTGTCATTTCTATTGGTAGTTGGTCATTGCGTGCATGTGATTTTACATCGGCCAATGAACATATATCGATACTTGATGCAGTATGGCTCTTTATTGGACCATTTACTACAGTGGGTATGTTTCGAATCGGAATAGTTCAACAAGAAAAAAAAAAAGTAAAATTCTATTACGTTTTTCAGGTTATGGAGATTTGACACCGGCGACCTATTGTGGACGAGGTAAATCAAAACTTATCGATAAAAAACACGACAAAATGATCAAATTTTCTTTTGAGTCGAATCCAAGATGAATTTCTTGCATGATTCGAAATCCGATAGAGAAGATTGAAAACATTTTCAAAAGTGTCGAGGATTTTGCTTTCCGTAAATTTTTGTATTTTTTATATCATATGACTCTGAAATCGATTCGAATGAAAAGTCAATAGTTCTGTAATGTTGAATTATTTAATTCGAAATATTATCATTATTAGGTGTAGCTGCCATAGCAAGTACGCTTGGCATTTTGGTTGCTGCTCTACTTACAGCTGTCGTGGCAGAAAAACTTGCTCTATCTCGATGGGAAAAATATGTTCACAATTTTGTTTTAAATAGTGAACTAGCCAAACAACGTACGCATCAAGCAGCCAATGTTCTTATATATGCATGGAAAATGTGGTATTTAAGAAAAATGAATAAGAAACGATCGACTCAATACATAACCGTACAACGAAAATTTTTCGAATCCATCTATATTATTAAACAAATTAAAGAAAAACAACGAAAATTAACCGATATTTGTGTAGGTCTAGCTGAATTAATGATGATTCATCGTGAGACAAGTACAACAATTGATGAAACCGTTAAGCAAATGTCTATAATGAAATTGAAAATGGAAAATGTCGAGAAAAAACTTGATGATGTCAATCACACAGTACGAAAAATGTATAAAACATTAAATCGATTGTTAGATAAACGTGCGTCATGATAAATAATAGAGAAATTTTTTGAATAAAAAATGGACAGATCATGTTTATTGTTTACACTTTCGAGTTCGATTACGATTCTCAAATATAAATATGGAAAGAATGATTATGTAATTTAAGAACAAGAATTTTCTCGTTACTCTCATGTCTATCTTACTCGTTCTCACTCATTCCATTGTGTCGTAAATCTGTTTCAGACGAAACTGTAACGATGTTTATTATTAATAATGTCAAACGTTCGTTTAAACTCCCACTTACCACTACAACTTTACAGGGACAAATTTCGTAAGATTGCGCTTATTATCTATTGGTCTTTATAAATCGTAATCATTGTTATTCTTGACTTAATTTACCATTTTAACATCATGACGAGATATTATACGTAATAGGAGACTATTGGGTCATGTATATTGTATTACAACTAGGCGATACTAATCTCAGTCGAACGTCTCTCAGAGGGTGTAGGTGTGGTGGGTGTGGCTGTAGGTGTAGACGAAAGGAATATCCACGCCCACGTCCACGCCCACATCCGCCATTATTAACAATAAATTCAAATAATTGAATACTTTCAATATTAATCTTGTTTAGTAAATGCAAATATAATAAGAAAACAATGAAGTTAATCATTTGGCATAGCTGATGAAAGATAACAATAAATTGATTCACAACAACGAAGATAAGTTTCTCTTGCTTGAGCTTGACTAATAATTTCTAAACTCAATTCTTCATGATAAATTATTTGTTACAATTTACATAAACCATTCTTTTGGGATTTTTAAATCAATATTGAATCTCTTAATAATATATGAAGTTGTGATAAATGTTTAGCTATTTCTCTATAGGCTTCACAACCTGTTCTAAAACATAACATTTGACGTTGAACTTGATGTTCATTAAGAGAATTTTTAATTATAATTCGATCCTTATGAAAATTATTTAATATTATTAATAATTTTTCTGAATCAATTGTTAAATTTTCTTTTATCTCAAGCATATGAGTTAATTTTTCCTAAAAATTGATTATATTTATTTTGTTAGAAACAAAAAGAAATTTTTTTCTATATAACTAACCCGTCGTTGAAACTTTTCATTTAATGAAATTAAATGATTTCGTTCATTCGAACAAATTTGTTGAATAATATTAGTTTGACAGTTTAATTGAACAAAAGGAAGCCAAAGATCATTTTCAATTTTATTTAAACTTAAACTCATATCAACTAAACGACTTTTTAATGAAACACTTTTCGATTCTAAATTTATTAGAAAAAAAAAGAAAAAGTTTAAATTGATAAGATTTATATGTTTTAATGCATACACATTGGATCAATTTGATAAAGATTAAAAATAAAAAGAAATGATAAATTAATAAAGATTTCTTGATCACCAAAATGATATAAATTTGAAAATGTTAATGGATATTGTTCTCGTCTTGATGACCTACAAAGAAATCGATATAAAAATGGACTTAATTGAAAATAATCACGTTTGTCAATTATAACAATCATATCTACAAATAAACATTTTTCCAATAAAATACTTAACAAAATATTCTACAAGTCATTATACTGTATTAAACTTGCAGAATTCAGCTATACATACTTTTTTATAAATGAAACGATGTTCTACTAAAGCAACATAATTCGATGATCTTGTCCTATTAACAATGCTGTTCAAAGGATAAACAGTAGGTTAAGGCTATCATGATAGAGGTAAGCATTGAACGGAAAAGGCGATGCTTCGTCAGTAAGCCGAAAGAAATTCTTGTAAACTTCTACAAAGGAAAATGAAAAATTTCGACGATTGAACAAAGGAATCATGTCGAGAGGAAAATCGAATATTTCGTAGATTACTGTATCCAAAAGTACATCAAAGCTATCTTCGAGAACTTAGCTAAGTATAGTAGTTTGAGTTCATTGCACATGACTCTTTTCGATAATAAAGCTCAAATACTTTTTTTTAATTTTATTAACACGCAAGCGATGAAGTAAAATGAATTATTTTGGATTTATTGCCGAATTGACTTATTTTACAATAAACTCAAACTAAAATATTCGTGATACAGACCAATAGTAGCCTTGAAGTAGTTAGAAATTTCTCAGTGATAGTTTTGATGTATTTCTGCAGTACGCTGAGTACAGTGAACTATAGAATTTTCGCTTCTTGTTCCATTGAATAATCTCCACGTTTATGATAGTCTTGCAACAGAATTCTCGATCTGAATTTATCATAAAGTCTTTTGAAATATTTTCCAGTGTTGAAATTCTGAAATCAGTAATACTGATTGTTGATTTTTCATGTTTGACGACGACAGATGAGAGTATCAATTTCGATTTTCATTATTGTTTTTTGTTATAAAGTCATGATAACCCATTTTAATAAAGTATCGTCTGCTAAGCAGGATCAGCTGTTGATTATGCAAATAAAATTTTGACTACGAGATGAATACTACAAAATGTAATCAGATTTTCATCACACGAAAGTAAGTTCTACTATCATAGAGTTTTTCCAAGGTCAAGATTAAAAAACTTGATCTCACATATTTATTATTCATGCATACAAGAACGAGATTTGAATAGACGTTTGATCAAACGAAATTTTCATTGAACGATGATTTGAAAAAGACGAAATATTCGATAATATTGGTATTGTATAAGTTAACTTTTGTATAATGATATATCGAATACAGTGTCAAATAAATGTCTTACCGAAAAGCGTAGCATCTTATAAATCTTTATCGAAATCTTCTATTTGTTTTTCTGATAAATGAATAATATTTTTTTCAAATTTTTGATAAGGTTCAAGAAAAAACTCAGGTCTTGAAAATAAAAATTTATTTTTTTCTAAATCCGATAAAGCAATTCATTCGACTGATTTTGGTAAAAGCATTCTAAAACAAAATAAATTTAAAAAAAAAAACAAGTGATGTAGCTGGTGTTGAAATAGCTGTTGATGAGTCCCAAACTGAAGATTTTTCTCTTATTTCTACGATATATATTTTACTTGAACTAATACATGAATAAAGTTGTGTTTGAACTTGAAACAGCAGTTGCAATATTTCTAATTTCTAATAATGGAACGCCCGTTGTTTTTGCAACGAACTTGACAATCTAGAAAGTTTGTTTTTATTCTCTTAGGTGACAAATGAAAAGTATCTTTGATTGATGGACATAATTGTTTCTTACTTGAGAACAGCTCAAATATCCTTAATGAGGTCAGAAATAGTAGTAGAATTTATTTTGATTATTTGTATGAAAAAAAATTTTATGTCACTGGCGAGGGAACCTCTCCGGGTGTTAAATCGCTTTTCGCTCAGGGCCATTGCCATTCGATAGGTCCTAGTGAGCAGTGAAAAAGTCTATCTTGGTTTGGGTGCATAGGCTTCTGGGACTGAGCTAGTGAATTTTTAGTGAATTTTTCCTGCAGAACCCCAGTTTTCCAGCAAATATATTTTTTCGAATTTTGACCTGAAACTTTGCCCACACGAGGACCTCAAATAAACTAGCTTCCATAAAAAAACTTCAGAACTTTTGAACAAAGTCTCTCCGAGATATAAATTTTTCACGATATGGGCGCCTTTCCATAGACAGTGTATAAAATATCCATCTTTTGGAAAATTCATATCTCAGAGAGACTTTGTTCAAAAGTTCTGAAGTTTTTTATGGAAGCTAGTTTAGTTGAGGTCTTCGTGTGGGCAAAGTTTCAGGTCAAAATTCGAAAAAAAAGATTTGCTGGAAAACTGAGGTCCTTCAGGAAAACTTCACTAAAAATTCACTAGCTCAGTCCCCGAGGCCCATGAACCCAAACCAAGATAGACTTTTTCACTGCTCACTAGGACCTATCNCTATTGGAATAGGACCAAAGCTAACTAGAAAGATCATACAATCAAATCGTATTAAATATCATTCTATATACAACAATGGAATAAATTCGTCTTGATAAAAAAAATCGACACCAAGAAAGGTCCAGTCTTTCAATAGTTTTATAACTACTGTAGCTGATTGAACTGGGAGCATTCTGGAAATATTCGTAGTTATAGACTGATAATCCTAAATGATAGCTATTTTACTGCATTTCTGTTCATGAGTAAATGTAATGATTCACAGTGTACGTCGAAGTTCTCACTAAGAAGAAATGCTTCATTCTCTAGCCAATAATTTTTGAAAAAGACGTTTTTTTTTCATGTTCGTTCTTTAAGAAATAAATCTGTTTCAAAAATTCAATATCTTGACAATGAAGTATCTTGTTCGGCTGAAAACATTGATATGCACTACAAATCATAATTAATTTATTCAAGCAGTTCGTTTTAATTTGCATTTGCACATAAATTATACTTCAGATTTTCTCCCGATTTTGTTAGAGTGTTCTATGAAATTTTTCAAAACGGAGTTTTTCAGCTAAAAGCTACAGTTTGCTATATTATTACTGTCAACAATTATTCGAAAAAGCTCAATGCTTTATATGGACAAAAAGCTTAATTTCGGAAATAAAAAGTCAAAGCAGATTTCTAATTTTCGACAATGCTCTGATTGTAATATTGATATATATTTTCGTAGAAAAATCGTGCTCTATCTTCTATTACTTTGTAGCTAATTTACAATCTCGTCATTTCTAAAACGAAAGAAACTTTTTCATACCTTCGCCAAAGTATCCAAGTATAATGATAAAAAATGGAATAAATGACACGATTGGTTTTGCAACTACCGGTAAGCACTCACTCATCGCCAAATAAGCAAATCCCAGACCAGAAAGTGACGAAAGTAGAGCCACTCGAGGTGTGTTTCGTCGAATGAACTCACCGATGATGCAAAAAAGAAGAAGAATGATACCCACTGCAAAATTGCTTGCCAGCGCCACATAATATGCCAATTCTTCACAATGAGTTTTGCCGCGGGTTAGACGACATTGACTGTAAGTCGGAAGAACGATTGCATATATGAAGGCAAATGCACCCATTGTGCTAATCCCGTAAGGCATGACACATACATCGCCACGTTTTTCTCTGAAGGCTATCTTTCGAGCCATGTAGACGTAATAGAAGTTGCCCCATAACATACCCAAGGACATTCTAGAATTACATTGTAGCTTTTTTTAACACTAATCAATATAAACATAGCTTTTCTTACTTAAAAGCTCAATCAGTGACCTCTATTCGAAACTTAAGATTAATCATAGCTATGAGCGCTGTAGAATGGATTTAACAGTGGTTTTAACGAAATTTCTCCATTTTCTACTCGTATATTATGATCTCTTACATAAATACTCACCCTGGAACCATCCGTTCATAGATAATGTCGTTTCCCAAAACCGATTTAGCGCTTAAAATAATAGCTAATAACGTAGCCAAGTTATTGCTAAAGAGAACGACAAAACCGTCAATGTCACCTTTGACGAAGAGTGGATATTTCGGATTCGATCGAAATCCGTTTAACCATTCTTTTGGATGAAATGTCATCAATTGTTTTTGTTCTTTTCGTATTCGTTTAAGAAATGGAAGAGTCTCTGGAGCTGTTGTGGAGTTTTCTTCATTATTGATCATTTCTATCGATGAAGGACTATTGGCATCAACAGTAGCTTGATCCATGAATAAGTCAATAGACTATGCTTTGTTTCGTTCGCTTTATCAATCACAATGTGACTTGAATCTGAAGCTAGAAAATGTGCAAACATATTTGCTTACTTTAATTTCATATAATCGATTGAAACTCGACGACTATTCGACTATTTATGGAGATCATGCATAAAAAATATGCAAAATCGCATTGACTTACGAGGGAACATTTCCAATTGTCGGACACCGTTTGACTCCGTATTTTGGGTATGAGTAGGATTCAGTGAGACTAATAAAACTCTGAAAGGATTCGGGCCAATGGTGTATTAGACAAGAGTTATGACCGTTTTACTGAACTTTTGGTTTATTCGTATGCATTCACCAGGACGTAAAATTAAGTGATTTAGATCTAAAATTTTGCCCAAAAGTAGGACTAATCATGCTTGAAGTATCCTGAAAATTTCAGCTCGAACGGACGTTCCTTTGCCNTGACTTTTCATTGTATTGTTATGAAATATTCAATCCATGTAAATATTTAATGCCATTAATAAAATAATTTAAGTCTAAATCTTTTTCGTGACTAATTGTGTAATTTTGGAGTGTAGGTACAAGTGGTATCATCGGAAGCACCGACATTTACATTTCACTCATTTTTTTCCAATTGATTAAGTTGCTTCTTCAAAGTGCTTCTATATGAAGACTAGCTGATCAAGACAGGTAATTTTTCAATATGGAAAACTTTTAATGTTTTTTGTTTGGAAAACATTTTTAACAACTTTGTCTGATATTGAATGCAACAAACTAAATACATAAATGCCATTTGCTTCTTATGGGAAACAGTAAATGAAATCGAATCGAAATCTATTAGTTCATTTTTCAATACTTCATTTTTCTTTAAATCACCAATGCAGGCGTTGTTACTTGAAATTGATATGTAAAGCAAAATTATCTCATCAT